AAAACTATATTAAGTCAATGCGTGAAGCAATGTTTTTTTTAAAATTATAAGTGAACACCAATAAACATATGAGAAAATGTTCCCGATCCTTAGCCCTAAGAGAAATGCAAATTAAAATGAGATACCACCTAACACCCTCAAAGATAGCCCAATTCAAAAAATCAGAAAGCAACAAGTGTTGGAGGGGCTGTGGGGAGACAGGAACTCTCACCCACTGCTGGTAGACCTGTAGGTATGTACAGCCACTAAGGAAATCAATCTGGCGATATCTAAATCATATGGAAATTGAGGTACCATACAACCCAGCAATTCCCCTACTGGGCATATACCCAGAAGAGGCAAGAAACAAACCAAGCCCAGACATCTGTGCTCCAATGTTCATCGCAGCACAGTTCACAATTGCAAGGAGTTGGAAACAACCCAAATTTCCATCAACAGATGAGTGGATTAAAAAACTGTGGTACATACATACAATGGAGTACTACGCATGACTAAAAAGCAGTAATGAACGTATGAAGCACAATGCCGCATGGAAAGAAATGGAGGAAATCATGCTAAGCGAAGTAAGCCAAGCACAAAAGAACAAATACAACATTAGTCCGCTAAGGTAAGCTTAAAAAAGAAAAGCAAGGGGCATAGGAAAAAGCTACTGTATACAAACATTCCTGGGGTGAGGACCAGGTAGTATGGTAGGGGCCAGACTAAATCCAGGGACACATATAGTAGCCAACTAAAAAGGAGGGGGGAAAGGGAAAAAAGAAAAAAAGAAATGGGTAGCGGGGGAACAGGGCACTAACCCACCCAGGAGGAGGGTATTGTTAATATCCCCACAGGGAAAGAGGGACCAGACTTCAACCCAGTGCTCCAAGATGTGAATGCAATATACCGGCATGGAGTAGGGAATCAGTGGAGAGGTCTGAGGGGCCGGCTCCAATCCCAACTACATGGACAGCTGCCCCTCCCCGAAGAAGAATTTATTTCAGAGGACAGCACTGGAGCTGTAGCTCAGGGAGAGGGACATGTCTGATCAGAGCACATGGGAGCAAATGAAGGGGGAGGAAGACAGAGTGGATCACATCCTGTCCCACCAAGCCTTTACAATATTCCTGCTCAGAGCAGCCAATCCACAGAGAAGACCATATGGCAGGCATCAATATGAGACACGATATCCCTCACTGACCCATACCCCCTTACAAGGGACAACCCTGGCGACACAGTGTGGGAACTGCGTGCGATCTGATCCCACCACACCGAGGCAAAACACTAAGGGTGTGCAACAGAACAGCAAGGGGAATAGAGCAACAAAGTCCCCAGGGAACACCAAAAATAAACTTTGGGGCCAGGGCTTGGCACCCCATCAGACTCGACTGGAAAACATCCTAAAGGCCAACAAACAGTCCTTGACTAACTACAAGTTTTTCTTTTTTGTTGTTGTAGTTTTTGTTTTGGTTTGTTTTTGTCATTGTTTTTTGTTGTTGTTTTCTTTTATGTTGTTGCTTGGTTTTGCTCTGTCTTGTTTTTGTACAAGTTATTATCTCCGCAGGTCTGTCTAAATAAGATAGGCTGGTTGAAAAATCTGTAGGAGAAAACAAGACCAATGGTTCCGGGGGGACATGGGAGAAGAGGAAGTGGGGGGAAAGGAAGTGGTGTTAACAAACCGAAGGACAAGGGAACAACAAATGATCCAAATCGGTGGTGAGGAGGGTGCAAGAGGGCTGGTAGGGCATGATCTAGGGTAATGTAACCAAGAGGAATTACTGAAACCCAAATGAAGGCTGAGCATGATAGTGGAACATGAGGAAAGTAAAAGGAACTAGAGGAAAGAGGTAAGAGGCAAAGGGCATTTATAGAGGTCTAAATAAAGGCATGTACATATGTAAATATACTTATATATGAAGATGGGGAAATAGATCTATGTGCATATATTTACAGGTTTAGTATTAAGGTAGCAGATGGACATTGGGCCTCCACTCAAGTACTCCCTCAATGCAAGAATACTTTGTTCTATTATAAACTGGCATTCCATGATGTGCACATTCCTGACACAATGGATGCATAAGCAAATGTGGTGAAGAAAGCTGATGGTGCCCGGTTATCAAAAGGTATAGCGTCTGGGGTCTTAAAGGCTTGAAGGTAAACATGCAGCCATCTAGCTGAGAAGCAACAAAGCCCACATGGAAGAAGCACACCACCCTGTGTGATCATGAGGTGCCAAAGGGATGAGTTATCAGGCATCAAAGAACACAAAATCTTATCATTGTGAATGAAGGGGAGTGTGGAGTGGGGACCCAAAGCCCATCTGTAAGCAACTGGACATCCCCTTATAAAAGGGCCACAGAGAGGAGATGAGCCAGTCAGGGTGCAGTGTAGCAAAGATGAAACACACAACTTTCCTCTAGTTTCTAAATGCTTCCTCTCCCCCTCCCTCCAACCCCCCCACTATCACAATCCCAATTCTATCTTATAAATCTGGCTAGACCACAGATGTACACTGGTACAGAGAGGAACTGGAAACACAGGGAATCCAGGATGGATGATCCCTTCAGGACCAGTTGTAAGAGTGGCGATACTGGGAGGGTGGAAGGAGGATGGGGTAGAAAGGGGGAACAGATTACAGGGATCTACATATAACCTCCTCCCTGGGGGACCGACAACAGAAAAGTGGATGAAGGGAGACGTCAGACAATGTAAGATATGACAAAATGATAATAATTTATAAATTATCAAGGGTTCATGAAGGAAGGGGAGCGGGGAGGGAGGGGGGAAAATGAGGAGCTGATGCCAGGGGCTTAAGTGGAGAGCAAATGTTTTGAGAATGATGAGGGTAAAGAATATACAAATGAAAAAAAAAAAGAATGTACAAATGTGCCTTATACAACTGATGTATGTATGGATTGTGATAATATTTGTATGAGCCCCCAATGATTAAATAAGGAACCAATGTCAAATTTTAATGTTAAAAAAATGAACAAAATACAAAGGTAAGTAAAAAAATATAGCCACAAAATTCACAGAAACTTTTAATAAACAAAACTATCAAACTGCCAAGCTATTGCTTCTAGGCTTACCCTTCTGCAAGCAGTGTTTCAATCTCTCTAACCCTTCTCTCATGCTTCAATTTACAGATCAAAATGGCAACTTTTGCATCCTCAAGAGACTCAGGTTTCTTATCAATATTGAGTTTAGGTTACAAAAAGAAGACTAAAGAAACAACACTAGGACTGTGGAATGGGTGGGCTAACAGTTCACAACAAAATTCTCAGAAGATACTCCTTGTTACACTTTGAATGAGTGTGTGCACATTTGTGCTGCAGAAAACATTCTGCGACACAATTTCCTGGCCTCTTTCTCATCAGCACAGTTTTTCATCTTCTCAAAACTTCACAAAAGGCTCCATTACCATCCTGTGTCCTTCAATAAAATCAAGAGTCCCCCTTTTGGTATTTTCCAAAACAGTCATCCTAACCTCTTAAGCTAATCTCTGTCTGAATTTAACTGACTGATCAGATCTTGAGAGCTCCTGTTCTCAATGAATCTTGTTCTTGGAATCATATTAGTAAATTCAAGACTTTTTCCCATGTATACTTTGTTTCTTAAAAAAATCTTCATTAGTTTCTATCTTACTTAGAAAACTGATAAGTTCAGCACTTTGAAGCAGCTAATCTTGCAACACTTCTGGCACCCATCCAGTCAAAAGCTTAAAATTGTTAACTGAATCAACACTGTGGGATCCCACCATCAGTAGCTATTACATCAGTGAAAATTGAACAGTCTTCTTCCTACCAGTCTCTGGTCTTGAGCAGTCTCTTTCATTCATATTAAGAATGCGAATCTTCCCTCTTTTGGCTCCTCTCACAATTCTTCCCAAACTTCCTTAAAACACTTCATCCATCTGAAAAATCATCTTATGTGTATTCTATTACACTTGATACAAAGCTTCAATAATTTGAAAAGATGTCCAGTTGAGTTTAATAAAAAATTTAGCTCTGTCCCCCCAACTATCATGATCCCAATTCTACCTTAAAAATCCAGCTAGACCACAGGATGTACACTGGATGAACTGAAAACACAGAAATCCAAGATGGATGATCCCTTCAGGACCAGTGGTGAGAGTGGCGATACCGGGAGGGTGGAGGGAAGGTGGGGTAGAAAGAGGTAGAAACTGATTACAAGGATCTACATATAATCCCCTCCCTGGAGGATGGACAACAGAAAAGTGGGTGAAGGACGTCGGGCAGTGTAAGGCATGACAATATAATAATTTATAAGTTATCAAGGGTTCATGGGGGGATGGAGGAGGAGCTGATATCAAGGGCTCAATAGAAAGCAAATGTTTTGAGAATGATGGGGGCAACAAATGTACAAATGTGCTTGATATAATGGATGTATGGATGGATTGTGATAAGACTTGTACAATGCCCCATTAAAATGATTTTTTTTTTAAAGTAGCTCTAACCTCAAAATCAATTTTCTTCCATGGTATAAAACGTAACTTTTTTTTTTTTTTTATGGTATCCTAACTAATCTAAGACAAATTTACTACTCAGAGAACATGTCTGCAACTATACACTGATCAAAGAGGCATCTTTATACATGTTTTGTTGGAATAAAACTGCACATGTATGAGCTGGGGTCCTTAGTACCAATACTTTAAAAATTACTCATGTGTATCAAGCATGCTATACACATTATTTTATTACACAAACTAGAAAAATCTATTTTCAAGAATTAAACTACCAAATAAGAATACTAATAACACCTCTACCCATTAAAAAAAACAAACCTGCAAAAACTTCATCTTTGAGAAATTCTTTTCTGTTTGGATGGTAAAATAAAGTGCCACCAATCATACGCTACCTTTTCTCTCATGGGAGACCAAAGGATCCAGGGAGTAAACAATCACCATTTGTTATTTAGCCAAAGTACAGGACTGTTCTTAAGAAAAATTCTGCCACTTAATATTATAAAAAAAAAAAATCATAAAAGATTAATCATAGTACCTCTGGGTGGCAAGTCCATGTCCCCTGATGTTAGTCCTATCAAGTTAGGTCTTTGTGCATGCACTCTGTGTCTATACATAGGTCTGGAAGTGTTTGTTATACTTGGGGCTTCAGGATTGTAGCCATCTGTGTCATATGTATCTGGTAAAACAAAAGCTGTAATTAAAAAACAATTATAAAACTCTGTGGTAATTTTAATGGTATTCTTAATAGAAAAAAATTATCTAACATATTGCTACTAATACACAACACATAACAAAAGGAAATGGGAACCAAAAAGAAAACTATTTTTAATCCAATTATGGACTTAAATTTAATGTATATACACCATGTCAACAGTGTTTGCTAAATAATTCTATTGAAAAGCAATACTGATATAATTACTCTCCAGACATTTAAAAATTCCTGATCTAAAATTCTGTTTTAAAACTGTATCACAACATTAATAGCCAAAGGCAAAAAATGCACCTGCAGTAAAAAGAGAAGGTGGAGCAGGAGGAGGTTGGTGATGAATGCCCGTTGTTACTACAGTAGGAACAGAACTAGTCACAGAGTTTGGGGGAGCATCCATGCCAGATGGCTGCAAAGGAGGAAGTGGAGGGGGTGGTCCTGTCAAAACCAAAGAATAAGAAATATCATCTGAAAGCAAACAAATAAAATATGTTATTGTACATTCAAATATGGTATTTTCATTTATCAATCAATAATATCCAGAAGCACCTAACTCTTTCAGATAAATTATTTTTCTATGCAAGGTATCCTTTTAATATAGTCCACAACAGGTTACCTTTTAGTTATAAAGATCCGCAGGCATTGGGTCTGAAAAGATTCTGCAATATACAGAGCCAGTATAAACTGCAGTAACTTACTTGCAAAGCCAGCATAATAGTGGTATTCCGAATGGGAGTGTCTCACTCTTAGTTTCTAGTACTTTTAAAACAAATGGAAGCATTAAACTTACTAACTAGAGGGTACCCCTGACCCCCACCAAAAAGGGAAAAAAGCTCTGCTGGGTGGAGTATGCATTTTTCCCATTAGGCTAGCAATGAAGAACTCAGTCTGAGTTAGTGTGCCCAGTGGTATCGCCTGAGAAGGTTCTCACTAGTCACAGTGAAGCTTTTCGTATTCTATTTTTGTGATGGTTGATTTAAGAGAACAGCGTGCGGCTATGAAATTTTGTTTCCTGCTTGCGTAAAGTGACACGAAAATTGTTGTGATGTTGAACACAGCTTACAAGGACAGCGCTATGGGAAAACTCAAATGGTTTTCTCATTTCAAAACAGGCGATGTCGATTGATGACAAACCTCCTTATGGACATCTGTCAACTTCCCAAATGGATGAAAATGTCAACAAAATTCATACATTTGTCCTCAAAGACAGATGACGGACCACTGAAGTGATGAGCTATAGGGACTATCTTGGGCTCGGTTCAGCAAATTTTAATGGAAGATTTTGGAATGACAAGGATCACTGTGTAGTTTGTGTCTTGGGTTCTGACTGACCAGCAAAAAGAGCATCAACTAGAAACAAGCTGTGCTTAGAAAGAACACCTCCGAAACAACCCAGATTTCCCCCCCAAGGTCATTACTGTATAAGAGACATGGTGCTTAAGACCTGAAAGCAAACATCAGTGAAGCCACTAGAAGACGCCATCAGCACCTCGCCCAAAAAGAGCTTGTCAAATGAAATCAAAGATCAAGCCACTGCTCATTTGTTTTTTTGATGTGAGGGAGTGCCTTAGGAGTTCATTCCACCATGTCAGACTGTTAATCAAGCTTTCTATTTAGAGGTTCTGAAAAGACTGAGTAACACTGTGTGACAAAAAAAGGCCTGATTTGTAGCAGGCAGGGGACTGGTTTTGCCACCACGACAATGCACCTGCTCACACAGGCAACTCAGTGCACCAGTTTTTGGCAGAAAAAAAGCATGGGTCTCTTGCCCCACGCACCTTACTCACATGATCTCACTCCATGCGACTTCGTTTTCTTTCCGCAAATTAAGAGGGATATGAAAGGACAGCAATTTGACAATGTTTAGAAACAGTGAAGAAAAACACGAGGAAGGTGCTGTCAGCCATGCAAACAGATGAGTTTGAAAAATGGTTCCAAGAATGAAATCACAGATTTGACAAATGTATTGAGTGTAATGGAGAGTACTTTGAAGGTGATAAAGCGGTTTTTGTTTTGTTTTTAATTTTTTTAATGCACAGCTTTGAAAAGTTAAAATTCTGGCTTTTTCTGGGTACCCATTCATAAAAAGACTATGATTAAACATAATAAATATAGGAAAGCATATTTACTTACCTGTGACAGGTGGAAGACTAGGTGGTAATGGACCTGGAGGTGGCACTGGGGGTCTAAGATTCACAGGTGGGGGTGTAAGAATTGGTGGAGGTGGAGGGAGCCCAGGAGGAGGTGGTCCTTCAACAACGGGAGGCTGTGCAGGGAAAGGCAGCATACCCGGCAGATTCACATCTTCTACAACTACTGGGTCACTTCCATGATCAAAAGGGCACATGTCTCCTCTCATACAAAAACCCTTTTCTGTAGAGAATTAAGGGAAAAGGTAAAAAGCACTACACATATTAATTTTCTGTAAGTCAATAAGATATTTAAAGATATAATCATTTCATATGTTAAGTACAAATAACCATTTCAATAGAGTTACCTGCTAATATCAGAAATATAAATTATTACTATTTTGTTATTACTATACCAAAAATAAGCCCTAGTCACACTGTCAGTTAACTGCTGGCCTACTAACAACAAGGTCATTGGCTAATCCAGTAGTCACTCTGTATAGAAAGATGAGGCTGTCTGCTCCCATAAAGATTTACAGCTTCAGAAACCTTACACTATGCTTCACAATCAGTCCAATGGCCGTGGCTTTATATCAGTAAGAGAATACCATATTTCCCCGAAAGTAAGACATCCCCTGAAAATAAAACCTACTTACAGTTTTGCCTCTCGCTGAAATATAAGGCATTCCCCCCGAAAATAAGGCCTCCCTGAACATAAGGCCCCCGAAGCTACCTTAACTCTGAACTCTGGACCTTAGCAGCAGATGCTGCTGTGCAGCTCACTGTTGGCCGCAGCGCGGCCAGAGCAGACAGGAAGTGTGAGTAAATGTACCATAAATTATTAGTAAATGTACCATAGATTGTTTACACGGAAATAATGGTAGTAACATGAAATTCTTGATACTGTAGGATTCAGTTTGTCTGGTTATGCTGGTTTGTGATAACAACTACTACCGTACCATATACAGTAATAAATTTCCTTTTTTGATGTTCAACAATAAATGTGCACTCTATTCTTCTTCAGGGAAAAATAAAATATCCCCTGAAAATAAGACCTGGTGCATCTTTGGGAGCAAAAATTAATATGACACTGTCTTATTTTCGGGGAAACAAGGTATGTCTAACATACACACTAAAAATATACATATATCACCAAATTAAGTTAATCAGTTGGTATTTACTTTGTTTGATAAATGCCAGTAATAATTAAGACTGCCAGGCAAATAAGACTATTCTTAAACTGATATTCAATGGTCAATAGCTATGAAAGTTTCAGTAACACTAAGGAATTTATAAAGCATTAAAACCAATTTTTCACAATTTTACTATGATCAGGTGAAAGTTTTAAGTAACTGCATCAGCTAAATTTACAAATTTTCCTCCACTGGAAATACTAACTCAGTATTTCATGAAACAATTAAAAGACTTACCATCATAGTCTCTACATCGTTTCTTTGGCATAGGTGGTCTTACATATGAATTGTGGTCCACCTGATCTTCATGAAATTCAGACCAACTTTCAGTAGTATTATTACCATGATGAGTAGGAGCAATTACTGTAATAGTGCTGCTTAAAGTAGGTACAGGGTAATGGCCAGATGAAATGTTAGGTACCGAAGAGACTGGAGTATAATTATTCTCTAATGGATCTGTTCTATCCAAGTCGTATTTAGGTTTTACCAGGTCTCTGTCTGCAACAAAATATAAATGGTTGAAAACTACTTCTGCAAAAAAAAGCAAAGTCCCAGCTCTAAAAAGTAGTGATATTGAGCAAAACAGGAAAAATGCTTTTTAAAGCGTTTATGTATGCTTGCACAAACATCTTTTTCTTTAAATCAACATCCCAAGATAAGCTGCTCCTATTCAACAAAACCAAATTATAAAATGAGGCATAAAGCTGCTGAAAAAAGAGTTACCATATATGAGTATAAGCCGAGTCTTTCAGCATATTTAAATGGAGTGTTTGTGGTTAAATTAAGTGCCTTGGCTGATATTCGGGTCGGCTTATACTTGAGTATATACGGTATTTTTGTACCTGGATTTCTTAGAAAAAGAAAAAAAGAAGTATTTTACTTTTTAATTGCAGTATGCATAACATCAACCCACAAAACAAAGTACACAAGTATAACTACGGTATTCTTCCTGTGATGAACATTTAGTTGTCAATCATCTAAAGATTCTAGTAGAACTTTTGACACTGAACAATATGAAGGCTTCAAAAAGCTTGCAGAAAAACTGAATTACAAGTGTCATTTTTTCACCAATTTTTTTATGTCACTCATACTTATTGAAGAAGAAAATGAACAGTCTTAGAGAAGAGGAAAAGAAAAAAGTTCATATTAAACACATATAAAGAAACTAATTAGGCTATATATGTTCCCATGAAAGGAGAAGATTATGAAGATTAGTCACATGAAGCAGAGTGTAGAGAAGTCTATCCAATGTAAATCATAGGAAAACAATAACAAAAACTCTAAGAATAGAGAAGTACAGGGCTTCAAGTGAAGATCAAAATACTATTTTCAAAAGGCTACATGTGTAAACATACTATAAAGTTTCAGTAACAGTTTTAGTAAAGTTTTTCTATATCAAATATGTGTTAGCTGCAAGGAAAAATTATACAAGATAGAAATGACATTTGCTTATGAACATCCACATCTGAAACACCCTTTTTAACTCTTAATGTTTTTAGCTTTAACTGATACATAATAGTCTGCCTAACTTTTTGGAAAAACTCACTGTCGAGTCCATTCTGACCCATCGCACAACTCTACAGGACTATTGCTCCTATGCATTATTACTATCTTGATGAGAGAGAATACAAATCTGTCTTTTTCTCATGGAGTGGCTAGTGGGTTTGAACTGTTGACTATAAGGTTATCAGTTCCACCAGGGCACACATGTAAGTTGTACAATTTGAGACATGATTTGTGTATATGTATCTATGAATTCGTCATCACAATCAAGATAATAAATATATTTTTCACTCACAAAAATTTTCTTGCACCCTTCCATAATCCAACTCTCTTTTATGCCATCTTCAAGCAACTACAAATTGACTTTCTACCCCTGTAAATTAGCTTCCATGTCGAGAAATATTTGTATTTATACTGTTTTGTCTTAGTTCTTTCACTCAACATAGTTATTCTAAGAGTCATCTACATTGTTGCACGTTATTAGCAGTGTGTTGCTTATTATTGCTAAACTACCAAACACTGGTGTGAATGTCATGGTGTACACAAATTATTTCATTTCTCCCAGATAAGTATCTAAGAATGGAATAGCTGGATCACAATAGAGGTGCAGGTTTAACATTTTTAAGTATTACCAAACTGTTTTCTCAAAATTTCAGTTCATCTATGTCCTCCCTAATAATTGGAAATGTCAAGTCTTTCTAATTTCAATCATCTGATAGTAATAATTCTTTATGGTTTTAAATTAAATGCAATTTCTGTTTTGTTGTTTTATTAGTTTTGTTTATAATCATTTTATTGAGAGCCCTTACAGAACAATCCATAATTCAATTAGATCAAGCAGAATTGTATAATTGCTGCCAACGTCAGTTTTTTAAACATTTTCCTTCTTGAACTCTTTGATATCAGCTCCTCGTTATCCCCTCCCTTCCCCACCCTACCCCCAAGGAACCCTTATTATTATATATTATTATTATTTTGCCATCCAATATATTCGTTCACCTACAATTCTGTTATTCATATCCCTCAAGTGGGGTTATACATCATCATTGCTATCGGTTCACCCTTACACTCCCTTCCTTCCCCTCTCTTCCCATACCCTTCAGGGAATCATTACTACCATCACTATTTCTGAAGTGTTTATCTATCTTAGATTTCATGCATCAAAGTATGTTAATTATGTAATTGAACATACGTGGGTCTAACAAGATTAATGATGTAAAAATAAGATCATAATAGTAAGGGGAGGAATGTTAAAGAACTAGAAGATAGTTAAGTTTCATCAGTGCTATATTACACCCTGTACATATCATCGCTTCCATGTGGCCCTTCTCTGAGGGACTGTCCAATTATCTTACAGGTAGTTTGGGGTCTTCAGTTTGTCTACCCTCCTTCACATCAATATGACTGCTTGTTTTTGAACTTCTGATACCTATTCACGTCAACACCTCTTATCACATAGGCTGGTGTGCTTCTTCCATGTGGGCTTTCTTGCTTCCCTGCTAGATAGCCGCTTGTTTAACTTCAAGCCTTAAAGACCCCAGACACTCTATCTTTGAATAGCCAGGCACTATCAGCTTTCTTCACCACATCTGCTTATGGACCCATTTGGTCTTCAGTGATCGAGAAAGTGAGTATCATACATTGCCACATTATTAGAACTGTTCTTGTACTAAAGTAAGATTTAAGTAGAGGCCCAAAATCCATCTGCTTCTTTATTGTATTTACATATCTATCTATAGATAAGGAGTACCAAAAAAAACCAAAAACCAAAACAGAATTGTACTAGGTGGAGCAGAGTTTTGATAGTATGCATCCCCCCCACCCCACCCCCGCTAGAAGAGCATCAAGCAACTTGCTCTGAGTTGGTGCACCCAGTTGCATAGCCTGGGAAGGTTCTCTCCCGTCACAGTGAATTTTTCCAAAAAAGCAGTTTCACTCAAACCTCCTTTTTCGTGATGGCCAATAGAAGAAAACATAGTGCGACTGTGAAATTTTGTTTCCTGCTCAGGAAAAATGCCACAGAAATTGTTGTGATGTTAAACACAGCTTATAAGGATCGCACCTTGGGAAAAACTCAAGTGTACGAGTGGTTTTCTCATTAAAAAAAAAGCGAAATGTTAACTGACTTCATTCTGGACATCCATCAATTTCCCTAATGGTTGAAAATTTTGACTCGTAGTGCATTTTGAGTTCGTACCACCAAGTCAGACTGTTAATCAAAGCTTTCTATTTAGAGGTTCTGAAAAGATTGTGTAACACTGTGTGACAAAAAAGGCCTGATTTGTAGCAGACAGGGGACTGGTTTTGCCACTATGACAAGGCACCAGCTCACACAGCCATCTCAGGGTGCCAGTTTTTGGCAAAAAAAAACAAAACAGCCTGCCTCTTTTGCCCCACGTACCTTACTCACATGACCTCACTCCATGAGATTTCTTTTTGTTTCCAACAAACGAAGAGAGACACGAAAGGACAATTTTACAATGGAAAAGAGGTGAAGAAAGAAATGAGGGAGGGGCTGCCAGCCATCCAAACAGGTAAGTTCGAAAAATATTTCCAAGAATGAAATCACAGATTTGACAAGTGTATTAAGTGTAATGGAGAGTACTTTGAAGGTGATAATTGTCTTGTAAAAAAATTTAAATGCATAGTTTTGAAAACATTACATTTGGGGAATGGGAAGATATCCCCTCATACATACACATAGACAAATATACCTATCTTTATATATTTACATGGATACACATCTATATTTACACATACACACACACACACACACACACACACATATATATAATTTTTACTGTCTTGCTCTTTCCTCTTTTTCTTTCCCCCTCCCCCACTATCACGTTTGCCCATCTTTTGTGCTTTTTTAATTGAAATGTATCCAAGAGGAATTACTGAGATATACAATTTCTCAATGAAACTTTCAGAAAATATTCACTTGGACAACAAAACACATCAAGTTACAAATATGAAGGCAACATTAGCAAAACTAAAAAATAAAACACTTTAAATATGCAAATAAGTACTCCCCTACACACACACACAATATAAGAATGCTAGCTAAAATACACAACATTTGTATTACTTACCTCTGCTTCGTGTTCTGCTTCTGCTTCGAGTCCTGCTCCTATCTCTATCTCTGTCTCGCAGTCTCTCTTTACTCCAGCTCCGACTCCGACTCCTGCTGTAACTGCGACTCCTCCCTCGTCTTCTGTTGTATCGGTCTCTGTAAGAATCTCTTCGAGGAGGGTTTCTATCATAATCTCTTTTACGAGAACGATCATCTTTCTTCCTCTCATCACGACTCCTAAAGAAAAATATGACTTTTACATAAATGATTTTTAAATGTATACCAACCCCCCCCCAAATTATACACAATACTTTTAACCAATTCTTTTAATATCATAATTCTCTGAACTACTACCATTAAACTAATAATGGGGGGAGGGGGTATGGCTACATACATAGGTGGTTAATTGGGATACTATAACTGTTCTGATGAGATGTGCAACTGTGCTTTGCATATATTTCACTGTTTATTAATTCATTTAAAAGGGAGGAAGAGGAGTTGCACAGAGAGAAAGAAATTCATGGGAAAATGCCATTATGTTTGTTTCCATACCTCCATAAATCTTTTGAAATACCCTTTTACATTTTTGCTAATGATAATTGTTTTAAAAACCAACTAATAATGGGAGTAAACTCTAATGGGGGGGGGGGAAATCACACCTGATTATGAGCTATTAAGTACCCCAAAACCCACTTAGAAAAAAACAAAACTATTTTAACCCTTAGTCTTACACATGTTCTTATCTATAATACTTTCAAACATCTATACATTTAAGCATCTATCTATATCTGTTTTATAGTACACAGTGTCTTATGCTTATAGTCTCTCATATACATATCACACGTTATACTCTTAAATGATTTAAAACTTTGATGGGAAAAATCATTTATTCACAGAAGCTCTCTTCAGGCAAGCAAAAAAGGAATGCCTCAAATTAAGATTCACCTAAAACAGAATAGAGTTAAAGGCAATGGAGGTAATTTAAAAAGTGATATTAAACAAAATTATATACAGTTTTAAAGGCTGTATTTCCATCTCTCTAATCCTTCCCCAAAGAACTTTTCACTATTCAATTTCAACATTAAATTGGTAGTTTGGGCATTCTTGAAGAAAATTATCTAGGATTCTTTTAAATGTTCTTTGAGCTTGTAGAACAAAAAAGAAATCTGAAGGGACAAGACCTGGATTGTAGGGCAGAGGAGGTAATTCCAAGGTAATTCCAAAGAAATTCCTTATAGGACAACCCTTATTCCCCTCAAAGAATGAGTAGGTACATTGTCATGATGGAAAAAAATTCCTTAAGTTCAACTTTCCCAACTTTTTACTCACTAAGGCAATTTTTAATTTTCTTAAAAATTATCTCAAATAAACCCTGGAGATCATCTAGTACCCTTAGAGAGACTCTATCAAGATTATTCCTTTGAGATCCAACATATTTTTAACCACTGCCCCCAAAATATTTAGAAGACGCTCTTCCCTGAATTTAACTGACTAAGTGGATCCCCTAAGAGGTCACTATTTTGAATGGATCTTTGTGAAGATACCCTAATGTGACTAGATGAGAGTAATACTAAGAAAACTTGTCTGCAGTTATCCACTGATGACAGACATCTTTAAATGTTTTGTTTGAAACAGACTCATGAACGTATGAACTAGCATCCTAGTAGCAATACTTCTTTTCTTACTTGTATGCTTAATCTGGTAATAACGGTTTTAACAAATTATGAGTTTATAAATAGATAAAACACACAAGCAGAACAAGAGTAGAGAGGAGGCCCAAACACAGCCTCAAATATGTACAGATTTGAGAGAAGATATTTCTACATATGTATATAGTTATGTTAGAAATATAGCCGTGAATTGAAGCATACAGGGGACAAAATTATGAAAACGTCTTACCATAAACAAACACCCTGAGAGAATGAGTTCCTAGTCCTGGGGACTCAAGACCATAATCTCATGGGACATCAAAGATAAATGGCTTAACATAATCCACAAAGAAAATGTTCGACACATCCTTCTTTGATGAGTAGTGACCAGGGTCTTAAATTTTTGTAAACAGGCATCTAAGGGGCAAATACTGGTCTCTTCTCATCCAGAGCAATGAAGACTGAAGAAGAGCCAAAGATACATGGAAACAATGAATGACAAGGTCTAATGAAGACTAATAATGCACACAAATCTCAGACTCCATAACCCTAAAACCAAAAAACATAAGATGGGACCTGGCAGGGAAGAACAAAAACTAGAAACACAGAGAGCAGGTAGGGAAACAAATGTGTATTAAAACTGTTGAATGGATCACTAATCATCTCTGTAAACTTTCACCCATTTCATAATAAAGGTTTGTTGTTGTTGTTGTTGTTTAAAAATAAATAACTAGGTAAGAACTGGCTCAAAGGCAATGACTGGGTAAAACACTGAGAATAAATAAATGAACTGATCACCTATTTTCTCTGTATCTTGAGCTTGACTGGGGAGGGCTATGATTTAGCCTTCTAGAAAACTTCTTCTCTCGCTCTTCCTCCTTTGGGATCTGAAACATGGAAAGTGTATATAATAAATTTTTATGTTACTTTTTGACTGGGTTAATTAATATTGAAACACAAAAATTAATAAACTGACTTGTAAAAGAATTTCAGTATAGTCTCAATATATTAAATATAATCACTCAATTTAACCAGACTTTCATTATATCGACAGCATTAAACTGAGACCATCATCTAATATCTTGAGAATTCATAAAGATTCAGGATAAATATTCTCTATAACCACTACCAAGAAGCCCTGATGAGGCTGTCAAGTAGGTCTTGAGTTACTAATCTGAAACTCAATGGTTCAAACCCACCAGCTGCTCTTTTGGAGAAACATGAGGCTATTAGATACACAAAAAGGTTTCACAGTGCCCAGGAAACCCTGTAGGTCCAGTTATTAGAAGTAGGAATCAACTCAATGGCTGTAGGTTTTCTTTTTTACACATGGACACTGAGTGGACTCTGACCACATAGCATCCTTTAAAATATACGTGGACCTGCCATTTTGGGTTCCCGAGACTGTAAATCTTTATGAGAGCAGACAGCCTCGTCTGTCTCCCATAGAACAGCAGCTGGTGGGTTCTAGCTACTGATCCCCTGACTAGCAGTCCAACACATAATCCACTATGCCTACCAGGCCACCAAGCTTAAATATCCTCCATAGGTGGTTATCATCATTTGTCAGTGTGCTGCGATGTTTGTTGTACTGTGTTGGGTTGTGTGTTGCTGTGATGCCGGACTCTGTCACTGGTATTTCAAATACCAGCAGGTCACTCAAAGTGAATAGGTTTCAGTGGAGCTTCCAGACTAAGAACAGGCACCAAAGAAGGGCTTGGCTCCATACTTCAGAAGAAGTAGCCGCTGAAAACCTATGCATAGCTTTAAAACACTGCCAAATATTGAAGGCCTAATGAGTGGAAGCAGAACATTCTGAGAGAGAGATCGTGCCAAGGGCTCCTCAGGTCTGAGGGCACTCAAAATGTGACTGAGGAGGCGCCGCTTGCTCTGAGTGGAATTGACCACAGTGCCGTGAATAGAACAAAGCTTGTGCGAGTAGAACCTGAGGATCTTCATTTGCTTATGGGACAGGGCTCAAAGCAAGGAGAAACCGGTGCAAAAATCTACTAAGGATCTGAATTAGGAATGTGAGAAATATAAAGTTAAGAAAACTGAAAGCGGTCAAAAATGACATGGATATTCTAAGCATTTGTTAGCTGAACTGGACTGGTGTTGGCCATTTTGAATGAGAAAATCTTTTGATTTACTATGCCAGGAATAACACAATCAGGAGGAACTGCATGCTAAAAAAGGGATTTTGAAAAATCAATCTTGAAGTACAAGGCTGTGTATGATAGGATTATATCTATCTTCAAGGAAATCTCATCTATAAAACTATTCTTCAAATTTATGCACCAAAAACAAACTGAAGAATTTTACCAACAACTTCCATCAGAAATTGATCAACATGCACCCAAGAGGCTCTGAAAACTATTGGTGACTGGATTCAAAGGTTGGGGAAAAAGAGATGAAAAATGTGACAAAAATGAAACTGGAGAACACATGATAGAGTTTTCCAAAACCAACTACTTTCATAACAAATATGTTTTTTCAACAACACGAAAGGAAACTATACACGTGGACTTCTCCAGATACAATATACAAAAATCAAATTGCCTACATCTGTGGGGAAATAAGTATCAGTAGCTAAAACCAGGAGAGAGGCTGACTGTGGACCAATTGTTCACATGTAAATTCAGGATAGAGCTGGAGAAAATTAGAACTCTATTAGAGCCAAAATACAACCCACTTGAATTTTGAGAACATCTCAATAACAGATTTGACCCATTGAACACTAATGACAGAAGACCCAATGAGCTGTGGGAGGGCAGCAAGAACATCATTCATGAAGAAAGCAAAATGTCATTAAAAAGACAAAAAAGAAGGAAAGATCAAAGTGGATCTCAAAATAGTCTCTGAAACTTGTTCTTAATCACAGAAAACCAAAAATGAAGAACATGCTCAGCATATCTGAAAATGAAAGAACTGTAGAAAAAAAGTCAAGTCTTAAGTTGCAATACTGAAAGATTCTATGGGCAATATATTGAATGATGCAGGAAGTATCAAGAGAAGAGGGAAAGAATATACATAAGTCATTGTACAAAAAAAGAAGAAGAAAAAGAAAAACTAGATATTCTACTATTTCAGGAGGTAGCATATGAGCAAGAAGTAGCATATGATGAAAGAAGTTCAAGCTGTGCTGAAATCTTCAGCCAAAAAACACGTCTCCTGGTATTCATGGAATACCAAATGAAATGTTTCAAAATGCTGATGAAGCACTTAACAGTTTATGTAAGGAAATTTGGAAGACAGCTACCTGGCCGACGAACTGAGAGAGATACATATTTGTGCTCATTTTAAAGAAAGGTGACACAACAAATCATAGAATATCATCACTGATAACACATGAAAGGAAAATTTTTTGCTGAAGATCATACAACAATGGCTGCAGTTTATTGACAGGGAGCTGCCAGAGGTTCAAGCCAGATTCAAGAGGACATGGAACAAGGGATATATGACAAGTTTATGTCACATGGATCTTGGCTAGAAGCAGAGAATACTAGGAAGTTGCCGTGTACTTTTTGGAAGGCTTGAAGCACTTCCTGATGAAGATCAATGATTGTAGCCTTCAGTATGGATTACAAGTCAATGCAACAAAGATCGAAATTCTCACAATCAGACCAATAGGTAACATCAAAAATGGAGAAAATGTTGAATTTGTCAAGGATTTGTCTTATTAGACCCACAATCAATGCTTATAGAAGCAGCAGTTAACAGATCAAAAGTGATATAGTAGGAAAATCTGCTGCATAATATTTCTTTAGATTATTGAAAAGCATGGATGGTACTTTGAAAACTACGGTGCACTAGACCCAAGTCATGGTATTCTCAATTGTCTCATATGCATGTGAAAGTTGGATACTGAATAAGGGAGACTGAAAAGAATCGAAGCTTGGATTGTAGTGCTGGCAAAGAATAATTGTGGTTCAGACAAAGTACTACGAATCTTAAAAGGGCAATCTAAACTGTCTTGGAAGAAGTAGGGCCAAAGTGCTCCTTACAGGCAAAGTTGACAAGACTTCAACTTAAATACCGTATCTACTCATGTATAAGCCGCTTTTCAGCACATTTTTAATGCAGTTTGATATCCAGGCCGCTTTATACTCGAGTACATACGGTACTTTGAACATATTATCAGGAGAGACAAGTCCCTGGAGAAGGATGTCATGCATGGTAAAGAGGAAGTCCTTCAACGATATGGAGACAGTGGCTACAACAATGGGTTCAGACATAACAATTGTGAGGAGGGCACAGGATCATGCAGTGTTTCTTTCTGTTGTCGCTATGGGTCAGAACAAAATGGATGGCACCAAACAACCACAACAACACAATAATTTTTCAAAACTGGTGAAACAGTATTAAACCAGTAGATATCAAACTAAAGTCTCACCAATAACCAATGTAAAAGCCTGATCCTCAAACAAAAGATCCAAGATTTCCTAAGGATTTTAAAAATTAAAATATAATTTGTGATTTAAAAATCAAAAATCAAGCCTTCACTAATGGATCCTTTAGGACTCAGAGCTATATTTTATGTCAGTTCAGCTCAACATTTTTTAAATATAAAACAGAAGCATTTAGACGGCATTATTTGACTATTTTACATTGTTATATGTAACTGACTTTAATCGTAATATATTCCATAATAAAATTATAAAATTAAAAATCATATATAAATATAGTAGCTTCTATAAAAAAGACAGAATTTAAGAAAAGATGTTTTTAACGAAAATAAATTGGAAAACCATACAGAATAATTCCAGTTAGTGAAATGACATTCTAAGTGTAGAAAAACATGGATCGTTACATATGTATGAAACTAGAGCATTCACAAGGGATGTCTTTACATATATATAAATACACACATACATCCATATTTGAGAATGCTCATGGAAAAATTGAACTGATAATGGAAATTTCCCATAAACTTTTTGAGGTTTCCTCATACATTTAAGCAAATATGCTGAGATGCACAGATACATAAAAATATCCTTTAAAAGTATCAAATAATATTTTTAACCATACAACATAGTTCAAAGGCAGGAAAGGTTTGCAACACTGTTGCATCCTCTTCACCATACTTATTCAATTTGTAGGCTGAGCAAATCATCAGAGAAACTTGATTATATGAAGAAGATTCAGTACCAGGATTAGAGGCTCATTAACCAACTGCAAAATGCAGATGGCACAACCTTGCTGGAGGAAAGTGAGAAGCACTTACTGATGAAGATAAAGGATTGCAGCCTCAGTATGGGTTACAATTCAGTGTAAATAAGACCAAAATTCTCACACTCAGACCAACAGGTAACATCATGATAAATGGAGAAAAAGTTGAAGTTGTCAAGGATTTCATCCTGCTTGGATCCACAATCAATGTTCATGGAAACAAAAGTCAAAAGATCAAAAGACAAGTTACACTGGGCAAATCTGCTGCACAAGGTCTCTTGAAAGAATTGAAAAGCAAGGATTTTCCTTTGAAAACTAAGGTGTGCCTGACTCAAACCGTGGTATTTTCAATTGCCTCATATACATGTGAACGTTGAATAATGAATAAGGAATACTGAAGAATTGATGTATTTGAATTGTAGTACTGTAGAATACTGAAAATACCATGGACGGCCAAAAGGATAAATCAACATGTGTTGGAAGAAGTAAGGCCAAAACGCTCCTTCGAAGCAAAGAGGGAAAGACTTTGTCTTACCTACTTTGGACATGCTGTCAGGACAGATCAGTTCCTGTAGAAGGGCATCACGCTTGGTAAAATGGAGGGGTAGTCAAAAAGAGGAAGACCGTTGATAAAATGGATTGATACGATGGCTAGAAAAGTAGGTTGGAGCAAATGTGAGGGTAACATAGACAAGCAATGTTTTATTCTGTTGTCCACAGGACTGATATGAGTCAGAACCAACCAGACAACACCTAACAACAACAAACATACTACAGCCTCATCACTATATATTAATAATCTAGGGATAGCACACAAAGTATGAGAGGAAAAACGAAAATCACCATCACAGCTCCTACCACACAATTTCTCAACACTAACAGTAGATCCTTCCACAAGTCACACTCTATGCTAATTATTTTACATAGTCCTCAGAGTTGTCAAGTAGTGTTTGTTTCATAATAACTGAGATTCAGAAAAATAATATTCTTGAAAGTATTGGTCTCTTCCTAATAAGAGCAAAAAAAAAGTGAAGAAAATCAAAGATTTCTGGAAACAATTTATACAACTGACTAAATAATGAACCATGCAAACATCAAAGATCAAACAACACTGAGACAAGAAGTAGATGGTGCCAGCTACCAATATTAACTGCTCTGACAGGGATTACATTAAAAAGTCTTGAAAGAAAAATGCGGAATAAACTCAAAATAATCTGAGATAAGGAGAAGGTTTATTGGTCACAAAGAGACTGGTGGAACCCCAAGACTAGGATCCTTAGTCATCCTTCAGGTCTAGAACAGAACTCATCAACCCTGTGGCTCAATTTTCAGCCAAATAATGCACGGGTCTATAAGAGAAACAATAATACCAGGGAGGTGTCTACTCTTTAAAATAATAAGCCATTTGAAATCAAAATGACTACAAAAGTGCAGAAGCATTAGCAAAGGAAAGTTAGTGAAGAAATTATAGGGAGGATGAAGGACTGCATCATAGGGACTGCAACCAATGATGGGAATCGCTGAATGAAAAAAATTCATTTGCTCTGTACCCCTTCATCTACCCCTACAAATGCGAAAATGCTGAAAATAAACAAGAGAAAAGTAATATTCTAAGAGTTACAAAGTCAAAACTTTAACAAAGATTTGTTTGAGCCTAATGTTAGGAGAAATATGGAAATATATTAGTTTCCCTGCCAAGCATTATCTAAATTATGACTACTGAACAAGTTACAAGGACTCAAAAATATGGGGTGGCTTTGGAAATTTCATGGGGGAAAAAATGGAACTGAAAAATACAGGAATTTCCCATAAATTTTGTGAAGCCTTCTTATAGAGATACGATCTTCAAAAATATTCTAAAATGTGAAGTCACCTCTCTCTATTGCCTGTAAAATATTTGATTACCAAAAAAGTAGACCCCTACGAAACTTATGTAGCCTAGTCATAAATAGGCCACGCTTTAGTCATTTTCATAGACTATTGATGATACAATTCCAAGCCTGAAAGATAATGCAAAAAGTAATGCAGTAAGTCTGAGACTACTATTCTTATTTTGGTGGGTTCCTGCCATTCCCATGGCTGAGTCCTCTAATGAATAATCACCACCACCTTGGGGTGGTCTTGAGAATCCCAACACAGACTAGAAAATAAAATTCAGTTTAATCATTCTCAATACATAGTTAAAGAAGATCTAACGTAGAACAAAACCCTTACCTCTTCTTTTTTTATATCTTTTTCTTGGTGTTGAAAAAATTCTACCTTTAAGCTTCCTGATGATGGCTGCTCTGGAGGAGGTAGATAACTCTTTGTATTCACAGCATCAAAAAGTTTTTCCACAAATATCTGTGTCTCTAAAAATTCAAAACATAGATTATAAGACAGTTTCTAGGATATAATTCTCTACCTCTATACAACAGATCTCTAATATGATAAAATATATCTGTAACTTATAAATGTAGAAATTATACTAAGACAAATAGCTTCCAAACCATTAAGCCATGGTTAATACTGATGGATACAAGTTTCAGGGGGTGGGCCCCAGAATGGCCAGAGCCTATGCACTAGTTGCTTCATCAATACTACCCAGTGTGCCTCACACAAATATTACTAATCTGTGCCCACTGCTATCGAGCTGATTTTGACTCATAGCGATCCTACACAACAGAATAAAACTGCTCTCTACTGTTTCTGAAGCTGTGAATCTTTACAGAGGAAGACAGCCTCATCTTTCTACCATAGAGCTGCTGGTAGGGTGAAAGCACTGACCTTGAGGTCAGTATGTAACCCATTAAGATATCAGGACTCTTTTTAATAATACCGGAAAGACCAAAAAGTCAAAAAAGGTTGAGAAACATTACACTAAACAGCATTCTAATTTCCTAAGCAGTCCTACATGTACTCAACATGCTATTAATCATTTTTGCATTGGCACCAACAAATGGCAATAAGTTTGGTTTTGGAAGAAAAACTATCAGCAAGTTTTAAGAGTCTAAGAATGTTAAAGAAACAGAAAGCTTTCATTTGAAAATGTGTTATGGAGATAATCAGTAATTATTAACAAAGCTTAGAATTATTACTAGTATACAATAATCATTAAAAATATTTGTTACGTGAAGATTCTGTGTCATAAAGAGTTTCTTGTGGATAATCTTATCATTAAATAACAAAAATCTTACCTTTCTGAAGAAATACATCTAGCTGATCAATACACAGTGCCTTTAACTCTTTCTCACTTTTGTCTTTCTTTACCAAAGCCAGAACATATTTTGCTAGGGCTGATGGATCTGCATCACAGCTGAAGAAAAAAGGAATGTTGAAGAAAATGGAGCCATAAAAAACTACATATGCTACAAAGTCCAATCACAAACTTAGTTGGTATGATAATTAAATGAGTTTACAGGAAAAGCTCGTGAAAGGCACTCAAGAAACAGAAGTTCTTCTCTTTCACACTAATATACTTTGCAGAGTAGTTGTACTTATCAGCATCCTTCCAAAAACCTATTGTGTATATATTTAAAATTCAGTACCATTTATGGCTAAAAGGGGAAGTTATAATAAACAATGTATGTTGTTGTTAAGTATTGTTGAGTAGTTTCCAGCTCATAAAAACCCTCATACAACAGAAGGAAGCACAACCCGATCCTACACCATCCTTGTGGTTACAGCCACTGTATCAATTAACCTTTAAATTTTAAAATAGGAACTCAAATTCTGCATCCCTCTTTTCAAATGCAAATCTGCATTTGAAATCTGCAGTCCCTCCTCCTCACTCCTAGAGTGTGGGTAGGACTTAGTGGCTTGCTTCTAACAAACAGAGATGGCAGAATTGAACAGTGTCTGATTCTGAGACAGGGGTCATCAGGTGCTATATGATGAAGACACTAAAGCAGCCACGTGGAAAGAATCATGTGCAGATGATATAAGGGGTCCAGTCAATGAGGCCAGGGAAGAGCAAATGAGTGAACTAGCAAGAGGATTCTACAGTCTCTGCTGAATCTTGACGATTCAGAAAATTGAAGATTTTGGTCAACAGCTTAAGTGGTTAAAACTGATAGACTGGCCAACAGTTTGACAAACGTTATCACGAAAGATCCTAAAACATCCAGCTAAGCTGCTCCCAAATTCCTAGCCTAAAGAAACAAAGCAATATGCACCTATAATTTGAAGATAAGTTTCAGGGTAATTTTCTACCCAGTAATCATAAATCAACTTTTTCATAAATGTATTTTCATGTATTTACAAAGATTCAAGGTGAATTATAATCTAACCTAAAAGCAAAGAGGATGAAATGAATTTTAGTGGCACAGGAGATTTTTTTTAATGCATTTATTTTAAAACTGTGGTGATAGTTGCATAACTCTTCTTAATATGCTTAAACTATTGAATTATACATGAATTATATATCTATAAAACTGCTAGAATTTTAAAAAGGTAAAATAAACATCATACAAAACTAAAAAAAATTACTTATATTTTCTAATTTACTATTACATTTATTTTTAAATACAAAGAGAATGGCTTATAATACATTAATAAACTTTCATGTTTTATCCAAAAAAATCCTATAAAAGTATGGGGGGGAAGTTGGGGATTTATTCTCCTAACAGATCAAAAAGGGGGTCTTCTGAAGCTTCTAAAATGTTTAAGAAACAAAAAATAATGCTGAAAGAGTAAATCACTTCCTTTCTACCTTAGAAAACTGGTCAGATTCCACTGATTTTAAGTTCCCAACATACTTTTTAGACCAGAAAAAAATCATAAACTTCCAATAAATCATGATTCTGACCACAAGAGTGCTCAAATTTAAGCCAATCATCCTTGTTTGTAGTTTGGGAAGTGAGGAAGTAGGAGTGGGGCAAACAGAAACAAAAACAAGGATGGCCAGAAATGGCAGAATAACGTACTAAAACAAGACTTATCAGCAGCATTTGTATAAGAGGAAAACCAACTTAAGTACTAAAGCAAACAAAACAAAAAACATCAAAAGTCCACTGCCATGGAGTAAATTCTGACTCATAACAATCTTTTAGGGTGTATGAGGCTATGTATTTTAATTAGTAAGGGCAGACAGTCTCACCTCAAAACAGCTTTTGAGTTTGCTGTTAACAGTACATACTGCCAGGACTTACGTATTCAAAGTAATACATAGACTAGGGGGGGAAATTAGATCATGAAGAAGTTAAGAAAAGTGAAAATCAGAAAATCGGAACTAGAGAAAAGAGTGCTGCTCTCCTAGGCAAAATATTGCTAACTACTTTCAGTTCAAGGTGTCATTGTTTGTATAAACTTAAAACTAAAAACGTATTGCTACAAAATCATAGAAACTTATATTAAACAAGAGTATCAAAATATGAAACTATTTTTATTAACATATCCCTCCCATTTAGATCTATACTTCCAAGATTTTAGTCCGACTCATAGACTTGCTTTAAGTAGCCATCGCACGCAAAGGATAAAACATTCAAGAATAAATCTACCAGAGAAAATAAAAGTGTTGTACAGAGAAAGCTACAAAGTACTCCTTCAAAAAACTTATTCATGTAGAGCAAGTTATTATGTTCCTGGGTAAGCAGATTAAATATTGTTAAAATTTCAATAGTACCAAAATTATACTATATAGCCAATGCAATTCTGATCCAAATTCCACAATTTTTCAAAGAAATCAGCAACTCTGTATGAAAAGGAAAGAAACCTAGGATAAATAATACACTATTAAAAAATAAATACTGGTACAACAATAGATAGGAAGGCTAATAGATTAGAATTTAGAACTCAGAAATACAACAAAGGACCTATAGACACCTAATTTTTCATAGGGAACTAAAACACAATAAGTGGGCAAATACAGGTTTTTCAACAAATGGTACTGGAAAAACTGGATTTTCGCTTGCAAAAGAATGAAAATATACCTGTACATCACACCACGCACAGAAACAAATTCAAGATGGATCAAAGGCCTAAATATAAATCACACAATTATTAAACCCACCAATGGAAAAAAAGTGGCAAACTTAAGAACAAAAATAAGAACATATTTTCCATTATGTTCAGTAGTATAGTTATGCCTTGTATACAGTGCACATGCATAAACACATTACTGAACCTAAGGAAAACTATCCATACTATAGAAGATAAATTATAGAAATGGGACCTACTAAAAATACAATATTTATCCACAACAAAAGACTTCATCAAAAGAGTCAACAGAGAATCCACAGATTAGGAAAAAAATATTCAGTAATAATACATCAGCTAAAAGGCTAATTTCCGAAATCTACAGAAAACTACAACATCTCAACAAGAATACAAATAAGTCAATAAAAAACTGGCACAAGACATGAATAGATAATTTACCATTGACAACATATAGGAAGCCAACAAGCATATGAAGAAATGTTTGAGATTATTAGCAATAAGAGAAATACAAACTAAATGAATGAGATACCAACTCACACTGACACTTTTGGCAAAATTCAGTGAAACAGAAAACAATTAATGCTGAAGAGGATATGGAGTGATTGGAATGCTTTATATTGCTGGTGGGAATGCAGAACTGTATCACCACAATGGAAATCAGCATGGCACTTCCTTAAACAAATGCAAATAGAAGGCCCTTATGATCCAGCAATCTCTCTACTGACTTTATGCCTTAAAGAATAAAGAATACAAGAGGAAAAGACATATATATGTACACCAGTATTTATTGCAACCAGCTCCACAATAGCAAAAACATGGAAAAACCTATGGAGGAATGAAGAAACAAGCTCTAGTACATACTACTGAATTTTAGGAATCAATAAAAAAACAACACTTCTCTCAACACCACAGACATAGAGAAAACTAGAGAATATTAGCAAACTCAGTCTATCTTACAAAGATAAACATTTTTTTAAAGATAAATATTTAATATCACCATTTTTATAAAGAAAATTATACATTTTATACACCAGTACGTGAGCCTTGGTTGAGTATGAGGAGGCCAGGGATGGAGGCAGGAACATCAAGAAGGGAGGAAGGGAAAAAAAAGGAAGATTTAATAGGGCATTGTTGCCGATTTCATTTCTTGAGACAGGGTGTGTAATTATATATATGTGTAAGTATATATAAAATGCTTGTTTAAAAAAAAAAATTAAATCCCTCAAGATTCTTTATCCCTTAACCACACATGCCCGTGGCTTAGGAGATGCAGGCACACTACCATCATAAACAAAGGATCAAAAATCCCCACCTCAAGTGCCTTTTTACTTTTTGGTTTATTTTATTTTCTCCTGGTTGTCTCTTACTTCCTCTTCTATTGTGGCCCCACCTCCCTCCAGATACCAATACTTCTCAGGCAGACACCACCAACCCTGCAGATCCATGCATACCCACACAAACCAGGTTTTTTACCACACTGGCTTTTGGGGTTGTTGTTTGTTTTTTTTCACTTCTCACCCAAGGTTATAAACCCACAAACACATCCAAACCCAAGTCACAGCCCTGCCTCTTCCTTTTCCTTTGTCCACCGCTCTGAAGCTTTAATTTTTTCAGGCACTCATCTTTTTTTTTCTATTCTCTTCTCTTCTCTCTTCTTTAATTCTACTATTTCTTTTAAATGCGCACACACACACACACACACAAACTTTCTGGTCTAATTACTTGCTTGCATTTTTCTACCCACTCACTATCTCTTTCTGCTCTCTCCTTTTATCCTGCTTAAATATAATTCCATGCTACTAAGATTTATTACCCCTGTTAAAATATATTTTTCCATTATTTTAAAAAGCCTTTTGAGCTTTCCAGACAGCCCCTTACTAGTACTACTACTAATTTTATTTTATTATCTCTCTTTTTCCTCCATTTCTTTTCCACTTACCAATAAATTTTCCTCTTTCTCCATTTTCCCACTGTATGTGCTCCTGCGCTTACGAGACCTCTCCTTCACAACGTAACTACCCCTGTACAAGCCAGCAACCCACACACCACTAAAAACAATTCCTAGAAAACAGGTCTGTCAACCCAGAATTCAAGAAAAATAGAAACAACCAAAAATCATCGAAACTCAATGGGTACTCTGAAAAAGAGGCCCTGGAACTACCAGAAATAATACTTAAAAGAATGGTGCTTAGGTGTCTTCAAGAGACGTAACATTCATGAAAAGTGAATAAATTGAAAAACTAGAAGCCCTATACAAAAATGAATACCGGAAGATAACAATAAAATAACAGAATCAGACAACATGGCAAATGACATGAGTAATTAAATAGAAGAAAGGTCAATCAAATTAATGAATTCAAAGTTAATTACTCTGAATAA